AAATAAGAAAGAGGGATCAAAGGCGATAAAAGAAAAAGAAAACAAAGAAYTTTCGTTATTTAACTGAATTTCATCGAAATTTATTTTTGACAAGATTGCTTTATTTTTGTTATTTTCGATAATGGAACTAAGAAATAAGRAAAATAATTAAAAATAATAAAACGAGAAGGAAACCCACGATTATCTGATAATTAACTAATTTTTACTTGGTTATTAGCGAGCGGTGCGCCACATTGTTCCAATCCGGGTGTTGTGAGTGAGTGTGGGATGATCGGTACTTCGACCTTGGAATGGGCACCAGTTGGCTACTTACACAGTCCTGGGACGGCAGGTCATGGCCCGGACCTGCTGGGTTGAGAAATTGGTCACTGGTTTGCCGTTGGAACAGCTACCGCAATGGACCAGGGCGCGATGGCCGGGCCTAGATTGACGAGGGCAAGAAATTTTCTGGGCCTGGAGCATTGGGGCTGTAGGGACTGCGACGCGGACCGAGTCGAAGCAGGGCAGTTGGCCACAGACAGTGGATATAAGGGAAGTAAACGGGTACCAAGGGGTTTTTTTCGAGGATGCGTGCCAGGCGTACCCAGCATTCCAGAAGTTGACTGAGAGGGGAGTGACGTGACGCAAGGAAGCATGCACGGTGTCCTCAGCCACCGCTGCCAACGCTGGCTGAAGACGACAGACACGAACGGTGAACAGCGGCGGGTGCAGCGAACGTACAGTGGTTCCGTGCTGCCGCAGCGAGCGAGTGTGTCGGAACAGCGGACTAGGGGTGTGCAGCGGAGATGGTACCTGTTCGTGCCCGTTCGCGGGAGCCAGCGGAGGATGAGCGTTGGTTGATTGGTTTGTACTACAATAGGATAAAGAAGTAGAAAGTAAGGTAATAGTTGGCGTGCATTGAGGACGAGGAGCAGGAAGAAGAGAGGTCAAAAGGTCAAGAGGAGCAGAGAGAAGACCATTGTTATGTGACTAGAGGTTGCCATATAAGTGAACTTTGTCCGTGCTACTGTGGGTGGCTGGAATTATCCTTTGCTTGTTCGATTGCTGAGGCCGTAGACAGTGACTTTGAGTTAAAAAAAAAAAAAAAAAAAAAAAAAAAAAAAAAAAGGCGACGCGCCGTGCGAAGTGCCCCTCTGGGGAGCTATAACAGGTCAGACTGACGACAGTCATCAGTCCTTGCAGGTGCTGCTGCCATGGGGGAGTAGGTAGTGCTCGAGGTGTCAACAAGGGCACAGGGAAGGACAGAGCGTGTGTATGTCTGTGTGTGTGTGTGTGCGTGTGAGAGAGAGAGAGAGACAGCGGACTGAGGGAGAGAGAGACAACGGAATGAGAGAGAGAGAGACAGAGAGACAACGGACTGAGGGAGAGAGAGACAACGGGCTGAGAGAGAGAGAGACAGAGAGACAACGGACTGAGGGAGAGAGAGACAACGGGCTGAGGGAGAGAGAGAGAGAGAGAGAA